AACTCACAATGACAATTTCACAACCAAAGTTTTAATCCACGATGCTTATATGAATTAGGATGTATAAAAATCTTTCGTACGTAAATTAAATAGCGTCTTCCGTTCGAAGTCCGCTGAAGATTACCTAGATAGACAAGCCCCTGAGGAAAACCGGACGCAGTGCCTGCTGCTGAAACGTTTTTTTTTTTTGTTTTTTTTTATACAGTCAGGCTCACCCTGTACAAGACAAGAGGGCAACTTGAGAAAGACGGTTAAGTTAAAGGGTAGTTTATATGGATGGGAGGGGAAGATAACGGTTGACTTTAGACTTGAACATGTTAAGATTGGAGTGATCGGGGGAAACATTCTCCTTAGAGTGGTTCACAAAAAGAAGCGGTTCGAGCGGAACATACATCTCGCCGATGGAATACAGACAGAATGTGGATGGTTTCCTACAATGTAGATATATACTCAGCCCCCCCCCCAACGAGATCAGGTTGTGACACAAGATCGGTTTAATGTGGGGATCCCGAGCGCATGCACCCGGGCAAGGAACAAAAATTCCCCGAGCTGTTCCCCAGGTCTGGGCACCTCTTCAGTATAATTTTCTCAGTTGCCCCTCTGTACTTTGACATAGAAGACCCTGAGCGCACTCTGTACAAGGACAGAGACGCAACTGAAAGATGATAAGTAGATGTGTACCTACACAAAAAGAGTAACGTACACACTACAATGTAAGTGGTATGACGGGTCCTAGAGCTGAAGGTTCAGACCTGGCGGAACCAGGGGATATAGTTCGTCCGAGCACTTTCCATGTTAGCGATAGAGCAGTGAGAGACTCGCTGTGAGAGAGAGAGGTTGGAGGACAGAAAATAATTCTTCTTCAATAAGGAGATGGTTTTCAACTGCGTTAATTCTGGAAAGTGTAATGATGAAAGCAAAAATGAAGATTACATGTATTATTTACATTATCTTCATTACCATATTCACAACGTTTCGTCCTTTGTACGCTCCGGCCTTCTTCAGGAGATTGGAATATCTGTCTATATCTCTGAGATTACTTGCATTGTTGACATTATTCTGACTGTTATCGTCATCTTCACTGCCATATTCACAACGTTTCGCCCGTTGTACTCTCCGGCCTTCTACAGGTATTTTGTTTACTTGCATTATTTACATTATTCGGACTGTTATCCTCATCTTCATTGCCATATTCACAATGTTTCGGCCGGTGTCGTCTCCGGCCTTCTTCAAGATATTGGAATATTAATCATATTTTAAAATTTTCAACGTGCACGTCTTTATTGATTCAGTGAGAAATGATTCATTTTAACCCAGTTGGCGAACCGTGGATGTTAAGGTCCTTGGAGGTGACCACTGCTGTGCATGTATTGAGGCATTAATGCATCCAATGATCGTCTTGCGTCCTGGTAAGCTAGTCGCTAATTATGCAATAATGACAGACGTTGGAACTAGAATAAAAAGTACTTTTATTTCAAGACGTTAGCCGGAATAACTACCATTCGGCAATTCTCTTTTCGCTTTTTAATCAAATGTCATTTTCTTTCTTTCATGTTTATCTCAGTTTTATTTTATTTATTTAATTCTATATTATCAGTAAATCATTATCTATCTATCTATCTATCTATCTATCTATCTATCTATCTATCTATCTATCTCAGTCTCTTCATATCTATCTATCTATCTATCTATCTATCTATCTATCTATCTATCTATCTATCTATTTCAATTTTTTCCATCTGTCTACCTGCGTGTCTATTTATCTACATTTGTTCATATCTAATTTGACTCGCTAGCTAGCTGCCTCCGTATCTATCTATCTGTCTATATTTGTTCATTTCTATCTCAATTTGCTCCTATCTATCTATCTATCTATCTATCTATCTATCTATCTATCTATCTATCTATCTATCGCAGTATTTTCCCTGATCAAATAAATGCCTTCTCGAATTATACTGATTAATCTCTACGTAAATTCTCGATCTGCATATATGACCTGTCTGTCGGCCGTACATAAAAACAATTGCAGACTGATACCAAGTCACTTATATTTATGAATTATATATATATATATATATATATATATATATATATATACAAAACACCACACCCACACACTCACACACACAGACACACACACATATATATATATATATATGCAAAGATAAGTTTCATATTGTTTTATCCATTAATCTGAACGCATGTCATCAAATGTGTACACACACACACGCACACACACACACAAGCACGTGCGCGTTCACGGACACACACACACGCACACACATTCATGACGATGCAGTGAAAGAAAAGCTCGGAGTGAGCTGTCCTCTTTTTCATTGTTCAAGCACCTACTTGCCGCCCTCCCCTTTCCTATTGGAAACGCTCAAGAACGCAGTCCCAGACAGTTTTTATCTATTGGTTCCATGTACGCACCAGCATCACTTGTTTTTCGAAATGGAGGAGCCTGCTTTTCCAGACACACACACACACACGCATGCGCGTGCGTGCGTGCGTACGCACGCGCACACACATACATACACGCAGTTCTATTGGCTTACTTCTCAGTTGATCGACAACAAATATGTCACTCTAACACACACGTACCAGCATCGTAGGTTGGTCGCCATTTTTCACGCCTAGACACATATACGCAAAACTTACTGCATGCGTGAGTCACGTACAGTAAATGTAAATTATTTGTTCGGCTTTAGGACGAGATGAGAAGGGGAAGGAGGGTTGCGATCAAACGAGGAGAGGGCACCATGCTATAGAGGGGACGGAGGAAGAAATAGTAGCGGAGAGATGCATTTGAAGGGGAGGATAAGTATTTGTATAAGTAGTGATGGTGGAGCTGGTGGTAGTGATAGTGGTGGTGTGGAGAAGGGGTGGGTGGGTAGGTGTAGAGAAAAGATGAATAGTTGAATGAATAATTGCTGGTTGAGGCAAAAGAGACACAAGAAGAAGAAGAAGAAGAAGAAGAAGAAGAAGAAGAAGAAGAAGAAGAAGAAGAAGAAGAAAGTATACCAGAAAGAGAAGAAATGGTAATGAAGGAGAAGTTTGAAAAAAAAGAAGAAGGATGTCAGAAAGAGAGGATGAAGGAAAAGACGAAGTTAAAATAAAAGTGAAGATGAAGAAAAAAAAACAGAACAAAATGATGATAATGATGATGATGATAATGATAAGAAGAAGAAGAAGAAGAAGAAGAAGAAGAAGAAGAAGAAGAAGAAGAAGACATCTAAAAGTTGAACATAAGAAAAGACAACGCAAGAATAAAAAAAAGAAGACATTTCGGAGAGAAGAAGAAGAAAGAAGAAGAAAATGATGATGATGATGGTGATGATGGAAGAATAAGAAGAAAGAAGAAAATGATGATAATGGAAGAAGAAGAAGAAAAAGAAGAAGAAGAAGAAGAAGAAGAAAATGATGATGATGATGGAAAAAAGAAGAAAAATTCAAAAAGAGGAACATAAGAAAAGACAAGGCTGAAATTAAAAAAAAGGAAGAAAATTCGGAAAGAAGAAGAAGAAGGAATAAAAAGAAGAAATTACGTAAAGAAGAAGCCAAAAGAGGGGAACTTGAGAAAAGACGGTGATAGAATAAGAAAGAAGAAAGATTGTAAAGAAGGAAAAGAAAATGAAAAAATACATAAACAAAAAGAAGAAGAAGAAGATGATAATGATATTGAAATTAGTAAAAGCAAAAGAAGAAGAAGCATAAAAAGAAGAAGTAAAAAACAATCAAGTTCGAAAAAAGAAGGAGAATATGAAAAAATGGAGGAAAGAAAAAGAAAAAAAAACGGAAGAATGTAAGATTTCTCTATCTTACATTCTTCTTCTTCTTCTTCTTTTTCTTCTTCTTCTTCTTCTTCTTCTTCTTATTCTTCTTCTTCTTCTTCTTCTTTTCTTTTCTTCTTTTCTTCTTTCTTTCTTTTCTTTTCTTCTTCTTCTTCTTCTTCTTCTTTTTTTTTTCTTCTTCTTCTTCGTTCTCTTCTTTTCTCCACCTTTAACTCTTAACAAATTTTCTTTTTCTTCTTCCACTTTCTTCTTCTTCTTCTTCTTCTTATTATTATTATTATTATTATTATTTCTCATGGAAAGATGGAATGAAAAGGGGAACGAGACAGAAGAAAAAGAATGTCGAAAAGAAAGAAAGGATAATGAAAAGAAGGTGTAAAAAGGATGGCCAAGAAGAAAAGTAGTTGTGTGGAGTGAAAAAGAAGAAAAAGATGGGAATTAGCGAAGAAGAAGAAGAAGAAGAAGAAGAAGAAGAAGAAGAAGAAGAAGAAGAAGAAGAAGAAATTGAAAAAGGGTTGTTGACAGTCAACATACAGAAGAAGGGTTTAAAATAATGAAGAAGAAAAAGAAGTAAAAGAAGAAGTAATGATGTAGAAAATGCAAAGAAAAGGAAAATAGAGGGAAAAGATAGAGACAGAAGAAGAAGAAAAATAGAAATAGGGAGAAGATGAAAAAACCTTGCTAACAGTAAAAATGGAAAGGAAGAAGAAGAAGAAGAAGAACAAAAAGAAGAAGAAGAAGAAGAAGAAAGAAGAGCGAGGAAAGAAGAAAAAGAAGAACGAGGAAATAATAATAATAATAATAAGAAGAAGAAGAAGAAGAAGAAGAAGAAGAAGAAGAAAGTGGAAGAAGAAAAAGAAAATGTGTTAAGAGTTAAGGTGGAGAAAAGAAGAGAAACGAAGAAGAAGAAGAAGAAGAAGAAGAAGAAGAAGAAGAAGAAGAAAAAGAAAATGTAAAGCAGCAAAGGAAAATAGAGAAAAGAAGAAGAAGAAGAAGAAGAAGAAGAAGAAGAAGAAGAAGAAGAAGAAGAAAAGAAGAAAATGTAAAGAAGCAAAGAAAAATAAAGAAAGAAGAAGAAGAAGGAGGAGGAGAAAATTTAAAGAAGGAAACGAAAATCGAGAAAGAGGACAAGAAGAAGAACAGGAAGAAGAAGAAAAAAAAGAAGACAAAGGAGAAATAGAAAGTGGAAGGAGAAGAACAAATTTG